ATAATGGCTGGACAATGATGTTAACAGGATGTTCAACTGTCGGCTGCGCGTAATGGATGTAGAACGCACCACTATACCGGGGACACGTCCAGGAAGCACGACTGCTTGGGAAACTGCATCGTAATAATAAATATTGGAAAAATCGGCCTCTGTTACAGAAGGCCATGTCTAGCTGTATGAAGCTCTGGCAACCTGATCTTCCTCCTCGGCTATTCTGTTTACATCTTCAAAGGTCACGTCTGAAACAGATTACGGATTCACTTTACGGATCATGTGAAGAATATATTTGTCTTCGCAAACAATTTTGCATTGACTAATTTCAGAGCAATAATGTCGTATGGCAATACGTTCATGGTTATGGGCGCACTTCCTAATGTAGCTGTTTTAGGGGGTGGGACTTAGTAAGACGCCTTCACGACTCTAAGGTACACCAACTAAACTCACGTTAGGGAAATATTATCAAGAGCTAATATTATATTTGTATATTTACATATGTACTAATCGCTCTTGATAATATGGGCAGAGTTACTAACTAAATTCAGGATAAAAGCGCATGTGATAACGATAGTTTATTGCAGCCAAATTATGGCTAATTATAGCTAACTATTAGAGAGAGAGACAGAGTGGACGTCAGCGTAGTAGCTTGGTGAATCGCGCCTAAATCCGCATCGGTATGCGCACGCTGCGCTGACGTGTGTTAATTGTGACGTGTGTTAATTGGCTTGATGAATTGCGCATAATTAAGCGGCGCTGCATGCCTAGGCCCAGTTTACGCGTGCGTGCATGCGTGTGCGCGCGTGTCGGTGTGTCGTGTGATCGTCTTTGTACTCACCGCGTTCTACTCGTGCTCCCAGCTGTTTTGCCGCTATTTCGTTCACCATGTCGACATCACGCCTAAATCTGCTTATGCGCCTGCTTCCAGCTCGTCTGCGTGCCGACCTGCGAGCCTCGGTGTCCGTGATAAGGCACAACACCTAGAGCGGCATCAGGGAAATGGCTGATTAGGACTAAAATTGCGAAATTACACACGATTGTAGCGAAGGCCTGGACCGTCTCTACGGGACGCTGGTCTATTACCAGTCCTGTTGGTTCGACCATATACAAACACATAATCATGTGTTTGTTTGGATAATTATATATATCTATGGTTCGACGAGTTTATCATTCGACGGATGTGAGCTTTAACGTTAGCGATGAACAGGGGTGATCGTGTTATTTTACAGCAAAACTAATAATATAACTAATAATATAAGTAATTTATTGAACTTCTTGCTTAAACGTATAGACTGTAGCTAGGTGACTGAGGTGAACTTACCAGGAGTGCAACAAAGAAAATTGCTAGCGTCCTCTTCATCTTCTACGCGATTGACAAGGATTTCAGACGATAGCAAGCAATGTCGTGTCAACTGGAGTCACGAACTTGTCACTTGATAAACTGCGAGCGGAACTGTGTCTATGGAGCAATTAATGCAGCCTTATATTTGCGTTGTCCGTTTAGATGACACATGCGGGTAGCCGGGTACTACTGCACCCACTGCCCATAGCGACCTGAATAAACAAGTAATCAGGCGAAATTTGATCCACAATTTGATCTACTCACACACATATTATGCATCACCTCGTGTATAATTAATGCGGGTTTAATTAATATACATTTCGTCACCCCTATGAATGATCCCGCAGGAAACGAACGTAATGTCCGCGGAGGCGGACCAGGAATTCAGAGAGGGGTAGCTGCTCCTTGCAGGCAGAGTTGGGGAGGGTTGCATAGCGGACGCCCCCAGTAGAACTGTTAGAGAATATAGTTGCATCACGATGTTTTAACTATACATTTTTGAATGTTGAGCTATATATTATCTTATATGAATTCAACTGAGGGATATCCTTGCCTCACGGTAACCTCTGACATGCAGACACGATAGCGGAGGCCCCCGGACCCCTAGACCGTTCTCTTTATCCGCTCGTTTGACCCATAGACCGCCCATGTACATCGTAGGCAATATTAAGCTATTATTAAGCCATTTCCACAATTAAATTGTATCTGAGTAAGACATAATGGCTGTTCCGGTAATGATAAACATGCCAGCTACGGGCCGTAATTGTTCGCACTTTCAGGCGTGGGCGCTTTCATCATTATAATATCATCGTATCAGGGGTAGATGATGACAACTCATTGTCATCTTTGTCATCATCCACCCCTGATCGTATTAAAGTCGCATCCTTTGCACTTAGATTGTGTCGGACAATAGTTATTGCCTAATAAGCCGGCAATTTTATTGCTTGCGACAAAAATTTATTGAAAATTCTGCGGTGTGCGGTATAGGCGTAACATCACTCAACGTTGACTTATTAATAAGCCTGCGTCTCGCACCTCGAATGTAGGTAAATATGACAAATACGACATACGCATATACGCTCTCCTATGACACTATTTGTCATAGCAAGATTCTTGCTATGACAAATACGACATACGCATATACGCTCTCCTATGACACTATTTGTCATAGCAAGATTCTTGCTATGACAAATATTGGCGGGTCAACTTCGATCCGCTTTACAGCTGAAATTCGATGCTTGCGTTCATAATAGTGCTCCTAAACTCCTATGATGCGCACAACACATATAACAATATTTGTCATAGGAAGAATCTTCCTATGACAAATAGTGCCATAGGAGAGCGTATATGCGTATGTCGTATTTGCCATAGGTGCTAGCAGAACAGGCCGATGCATAGCTATGTTGCACCAGCTCAAGAAATGGCATTCGCGGTTTTGAGAGAATCGCAAGTGCGACTTTGACGTGGTGTTAAAATATTGCGATGAATCGCCGACTATTGAATGAAAAATCGTATGTGAGCGCGCGCGTGTGTGTGCGTGCGCGCGTGCGCGTTCGTGTGTGCGCGCGTGTGTGCGCATGAGAGCCATGTAAACAGGTGTTTGCACATGTGTAGGGCATCATAAATTATGGTTAGCATAATTTGACCTAGCGCCCACTTGCAGCCTCTCTCTCTATACGGCATTGTCTATGCCCACATCTCGCCAATTCAACATCTATATCCGCGTCGAAAGTTCCCCCACAGAAATACAAAAATCAAGAATTACCGTAAGACGTACTTTAATCTCAGCAACTATGTATTCAGCACATAGCATCCACGCTTAATTAATAGGCCATCATTTATGTATGCTAATATAAAGTTGCATGCAGCCTGAAATGTCAATTCGTATAATGCTGTAAATTTTAATGTTTTTCAAAGTAACAGAGGTGTTTTTTCACCACCAAGCAACGTTAGTGCGTTGATTCAACACTAAAGGCGTGTTTCCGCAAGGAAATTACACACAGAAAACGTCCGCAACAATTTAACAAACTGCAATTATGGGAACTTCCGGGGCGTATGAGAGCATATATCATTCATAACTGCAGGCTGCACCCTAAAACAGCAGCAGCAAGTTTTCTGAACAACCACCGCTTTGTAATTCGCATCAATAACTCAAATTCCAGCTTTAAGATTTTTTCCCCCCCGGATAACGAAAACAGTGGCCGACACGACACACACTGAACAAGGGATATTGATCTTGTCTCTCTATTTCACGCGCGTACGTCGCAGCTGTTGATTTATTGTGGCAACACGTGCATTGCAAACACAGGACGGGTATACTGGTTGCTGCGATATCTACATATTCTACATATATAAGAATATATATATACAAGAATATATAGACTATATATTCTTGTTGTTTGTGCACAGCGGCGTGCGTGCGGTGTACTCATGCCATGAGTCATGTGACGATGTGTTGCAGAGGAACATATGAACGGCATTTTTACAGGAAGTTATCGGCAATAATAGGCGAAAGCATAGATATATACAACACACAACTGTGTTGTATATATATCTATGGCGAAAGGGAGTAGAGAAACATTAATAAGACTTTGGTAGTAAATACTATATTGAACTACTTTGAAACAATTATAAGACTTTGGTAGTAAATACATTTCGTGTTCATTTACCATCATTTTGCTATTGAAATGTTCCAAGTGCCTGTGCACACACCCACGCACGCACAAACACCACAATACAATCTCTCTACATCTTCTATATTCATTCCATTTTATTCAATTCTTTCTATATTGCCGTGGACTTTGAAGAATAACCACAGGTTAGAAGGTTGACCTCGACTCCTGCAAAATTCTACTCATTACCCCAGTCTACTACTCTAATTCACTTTTTAAAACCTTTTACTAATACCTACTCACTTTATCTCAAGTATCTATAATAACTTACTCTTGTGTACAAATATTTCAGTGTACACAATATATAAGTAATGACCTTCGCTGGAATGCCCACATCAATTACATTTGTAGAAAGGACACTCGCTCATTGGGCATGCTATGCTGCAATTTTAGTTACTGACACTAATACCCGGTCCCCGGCCTTTAAAACCGTAGTCCTCCCTATTCTAGAATGTGCCTCGCCCTGCTGCGTCTGGGCCCCTTATACACGAGTACTCTACAAAACTGCAACAGATTGGAATCTATTCAGCACAAAGCTGTAAGATGGGTTACAAAAAACTACAATGTCAGTTCTGAAAATATTCTCACCAATCTCAACTTGCTCCTTTTCATGCCCATTTTCTCTTTACCAAACTGTTACGCTTTTACAATAGTTATCACAGCCACGTTAAAATTGGTATACCATCTTGCTTGATTAAATCTTCTAATCACAATTTGTGATTATTAACTCCTGATAGCGCGAGTGTCCAGTGAAATAGTGCCGATACAATGCTGTGAAGGTGAACTCTCATGTTTTTATCTTGGGAATTGTTAGGCTAAATATAGTCATGGAGGAAATGGTTTTGTGGTTGCCACCTCTCAATGCGATTTAAAACTAAAAGCCGAGTCAAGACCTTTATTAGTAACCAATTATTGTGACGGACCTTCATTTGACTAAAAAATTCTTTTGTTCACAATCCCTGAGCAGCCACAAACAACAAATAACGCATGAATATAATATAAAATATTCTTTGATATCCAAATAACGGTTATCATATTACAAATGCAAGCCAATGACTCAGTAAATGTCAGGCAACATTCATGTATAAATAAATTACAACTATGGTATATAAAATAGGCATAATAATTATACACATGTCTTACATGTTCTGCCTTAGTTAGAAAATTATGACCACGCTCTAATTACAAGTATTTTTCCAAAGGCAACCATATATTGTGATAACTGATATTTGTTACCAAATTATACACGTTTATCTCCATAATATGTTCCAGAAACCACCGTCAGTCATAAATAAATAGATGAAATTAGAAATTTAGGTGTGTGTAATTGAAGACTACTAATCTACTTTTTGCGTTCAATTGAATGATGCTTGCTCCCCGAATGAAAAATTCGAATGGTACCTTATTCTATAGGCATTTACTGAATTAACGAATAAATAATGGATAGCTACGGTACATTCCATGCAAATGTGCTGCTAAACGAATGCATGTCGAACACATGCTCTGTCTGATGAAAAGAGTAAAGTTGCTTAAGTAATGGCACCAGTTGTAGACCCATCGCAGAAAAGGCCTCTTGCATCGAACCCTAACGCGCACACATGTACTATGCACTCCCCTACATACATTAGTAGCTCTTTACTGGGCCACCGACGAGTCTACAGTGACTATCTAAATTTTAGTTTTGTCAAAAGTTGAGTCCAACAGTGAATGCAACAGTGGATGTCTCACAAGAAGAATTTGCTGGAAAAAAAAAACATGTTAAAACCCATCGCGACAGACTTTTCTAACGGCTCCAATTACTTTACGTTTTTTTTCCTGCCGACCGACGAAACGCTTGAGGACCACCAGTAGACTTCACACTAACACCGCCGTGTCGCTGTCCAGTAAGTCGCTCTGTCCCGCGTCGTCGCTGCCTCTTCGGGGCGCGACCCTCGAGTTCACCGTCACGCCGGACCTCTCCGCGTGCGCGCCGTCCACATCTGTCACACTAACGCCATCTACATCTGTCGTGCTGACGCTGTCTACAGCCGTCGCGCCCGCGCCGGCCAGGCTGTCCGATCTCGGCGGCGGCAGAGGAAGCAGCAGCTGCAGAGGGGAATGCCTTCCGGCTTTTCGGCCGGTGCGATCCGCCCGCCTGTCGGGCGTGGCGTTCGTCTCGCCGGGGGAATCCGACGGCTCGTTCGTAGACGGCGGGCCTATCTTGATGCTGACCTTGTTCTCGCACGTCTCGCGGCCCGCCGAGTCGCGTGCCCCTTCTAGACTCTGCGTTCGAGCGGGTGGCTCGGGTGGCGCCACCTGCATCGTGCAGCCGCCACGTTTTTCCTGCACCGGGTCGGCGTCGGCAGCGCCCCCTGGTGCGTCTGCTCCTCCCACAGCTCCCTGCTCCTCATCGTACATCGCGTCGGCCGCCGCAGCTGGTCCGTAGCCTGTGGCAACCTCGCCGTTTCTCGTCGTCGCGGCGACGGCAGGTACAGCGCGCTTTCCTGAAAATGAAACTCGCATGGTGAAACTGGGGTTTCTCAACAAATTCACCGTAAGTTGATTAATATCTTGTTAATCTTACGTGCTCCCCGCATTTCTACGTATATCTGTAATCCGGCGTGTTGTCCATTAGGTTCCTCGTAGGGCGTTTGATAGTGTGTTGACTACAGTTTACAGTCACATACATTTTACTATATTACTGTAACTGTGAACCGCTTGCGATATCACTGTAATCAGTGGGGCAGAGGAGAATAATCTTGACTACTGGTGTTCCACTGCAAATTGGCTGCCTCGCTTAAAACATCACTCAATAGATGACTGTAATAAAATAGCTGAGCGAGTAGAGACGTACCAGCTGATGAATCGGCAAGAGCCATGGCCTCAGCGTAGGTAGGTAGGCCTTTCTGCTTCTGATGTGGAGTTGGATCCTGCTCGGAAAATGCAAATGGATGGATTGTAATCAATTGATGAACCGAACTACCTTTTTAGCCAAATGAAATGCGATGAACTGATTTAGAACACATCATATATGGTCCTACTAGCTGAAGGATATTTCATATTAAATATGAGTAATCATGCTTCGATATGATCCACACTACAGATATGGCTTCATTAGTAGATCTACACGTAACGGTACCTGTGTGTCTGTGCTAGTTGGCTGCGCAGGCCTTTCCATGACAACGTCGCAGTAACTGGGAGGCCGATCTATCGCTGCGTCCTGTGCTGCCATCTGCAGGGACTCGGTGCCAGCGTTATAGACCAGCTGCGTTTCGCTGGCTGCCGAGTGTGGCAAGCTATTCTCTGGCGCTCCGACTCTCTCTCTGAAACACGCGGAAAGTGAAATTACATTTTAATGGAGAAATAGCTTATATGTTCTGTCAGGGGTAAACACTCAACGAAATTTGTTTTGGATTATTTACCACTGACGCTATCTCGGAGTAATTAAATGATTGTATAAATGCGCCATCTTTCTCATGATACAAGGAATGGCCGAATCGAAAGGAGCGTTTCTACATTTACAGGCGAGATATTAAACTCTTTACTGCTCTCAAGCATTCTTGAAACAATACATTCACCACGTTAAACTTTGTTGTTTGCTCTGTTTCGGTGATGCTTTTTGCGATTGCATGTGCCTGCATCCAGATTTTGTGCAACGATATCAAAAAGGAGGAATATAATCGTACGCCACATCACGTCACTGATACTTGCCTCCGCTTCTTCTTATACACTCGTAGGCCATATATGGAAAATCCGACTAGAAATACAGCTAACAGCACAGATATGGCAACTCCTGCCCATTCTCCAAAAGTGAGATTATTTGGTGCTGAAAAAGGCAGTGAAAATAAAATCAAATATCGTCAGTAATTTTCTGCATTGTCATATGACATGGTATGTAGAACAGTTCATGATACCGTAATTTAAGGTATATATGCTATGCAAACTGCTTCCATGACAAGTAAACACCAAGGCGCGTGTGTAGTTTTTACATATAACCACATGATAAACAATCCTTTGTGTGTATATATATATATATATATATATAATAGATGCAAAAATATATAAATCTAAACTGTCCAATTGACCTATCTGCCTGGCATGATTGATAGGCCGCTCTAGCCAGTCAATGTTGCAAAAGGATATCCTAAACGACAACCCCCCGGCAACGAAAAATCACAAAATTTGGTGTTACTGCGTGAAACGCGCATAAACTGGTCTAGCTCGACCGAACTAGCGACAATATGAATAGCGTATTAAGTATACTTAATACATACTTAATACGCTCTTGACAATATCCATAAGGGGCGTGATTATCTTGCTCAGATGACATAGGTAAATTGAATCACTCCATGCCTATAGGCAGCAATCACCTCAACGGCGCATCATAACATCGCTCCCTGCTTCAGCGCGAACGTACGCATACGCTTCTACATACCGTAGCTGACAACGTATTTCGCCTGCGGGCTGAGCAGGTGCCGCGCGATCTCGTACTTCAGCTGGAAGCCCGTCATGCCGTCGGCGTTCGCGTAGCTGCGGCCGCGGTACTCGCGCTCCGTGACGAGGCGCAGCGTCACGAGGCTGTACAGCGTCGAATCGGGCGTGAGCGCGAACGTGCCGCGCCGCGCGTACACGAGCGCGCACGCCAGCTCATCCTCGCTCGACCAGTCGCGACACGCACCCTCTGTGCGTGGCGTGACGTGTGCGTGAAATAAACGCAAATTAACGCAAATTAACTAGGTAAAATATTAACGAAGTATGTAACGACGCACGTGAAATAATGCAGATCAACTAGGTAAAATTAACTGTGTACATAAGTTGCTACCCCCCCCCTCTGCGTGCAGCGAGTGAACCTGGATCGGTAATCATGATAGGTATGGCATTTATATTATGTAGATATCTGAATATATACATCTCCAGGCCTTTCTAGTTATCATTAGTTAGAGGGCTGAAGATTGTACACCTTACAACTCTACTATTACAGTAACAGCCAACATATAAGCACCAAAACAAGAATATATATAACCACATAACAGTATATACAGCTCCAGGCATATGAACATGCATAGATGGACAGTTTTGTTACACACCATATAATTGTAGAGATGTGCTAGGGGGCAGCTCCCCAAAAAGACTTGTGATGGCAACGTTGGAGGCCAGAATCACCCATCTGCAGTCCAGGTCACGTGGCAGAGCAAATGGAAATCCTGGTGATGTGATCATGCCAATGTTTGGATCACTCACACTACAGTAATGCAAAATATCTTCAGCATCATTGTCTACATCTAGGGCATGGCATCGAAGGGTCAGCTACACCACACGTTAATCATTGCACACTTAGACGGCATCAAAATAGTGCAAAAAAGGTAGTACAAACACAGTAGTCAAAAACAGTTGAAGAGTGTAGACAAAATTATGCTTTCAGTGCCAGCCGATGTTTGGCAATTTTTAAGTCCGTTTATCTCTTCGTGAAAAAATGTTGCATGACGGTGAAATGACTATATTGATTATGTTAAACCATCCTAATCATAAACTGGGGAAGTATCTATAAGTAAAGGAAGCAATAGCAACTTTACCTGCATTAAATACAGTATTTACTGTTACATCAGAGGAATTAGAGTTGTTGGGTCAGTCATATTACACCAGATTATACGTTTTTTCAGGCATGCATGCTAAATTGTCGATTTTGTGGCACTTTTTTGTGAAGCATTTTCTTTTAGAACGTGCTATAACAACAATGATTGGTTGGAAGTGCCTTTCGATCACACCCGGGACAGATAGGGCAGTTTGGGTGTACATAAGGGTATATACGGGTATATATTGGATGTATATAAGGATATGATCACGGACCTAGCTGTGTATGTGGGTGCGATGTAGGGATGCACGCCGCCAAACGTGCGTGAGTAGCAGATCTGCTGAACGTAGCTGAATGAGAGCTGCTCCGTCTGCTCTGCTTCTGAAACACGCAGATATGCCGCAGATCAGTGACGTGAAGCTGTTAGTAATAAACCAGCCTGACATGCCAAATGTATTTCCGTAAATATACTAGTGAGGGACATGGCAGCACCTGGGTTAATTTCCATGCACGCAACAACAAGAAAAACAATAATAATAACAACAACAGCAACAACAACTTAATCAGGATCAGGACATCTGGGATGGTTTTTGCCTAAGATTATTTACTCCTGATCATATTTGTGTATTATATATATGAATATAATAGAAATCATCAAGGTTTTAGCAAACAAAATTTGTGTTAATACTATTCAGAACAAGTATATACACACATGCACACATACCACGAAAATACCTATATTTTGCATGTGCAAGCATAGATATTTTCATGCACATACATGCATGCTGAAAAATTTTTAATTTCTGATATTACTAAGTTATCGATCACGCAGACACATTCATAGCGTACGTACTCGTATAGTTATCAATTGTTTCATACAGGAGCTTGAAGCCAGGTTTGGTGAGAAACTTATCTGTCACAAACTTGAGTTCAATCTCCGGCCCGTCACTCACGATAGATATCGCTGGTAAATAAAAAAAAGACAACCGTGGTTACAAAGGTTGACTGCTGCCTGGCAGATGAAGTCAATGGTCGGTCAAGGTGCTGAGCAAATAGAACAGAGCAGTTTGACACTTTGATCACAGCACGTGCACGCTAGAAGGCCATGGTTATGACTCACTCGTGAACGTATGCACACATATGTACTCACAAGATTGAGGAGGTATAGGTACATGGCAGTTGGGCAACACGAATGATAAAGTACATGACTGGGTCATGGCTAACACATTTAGATTTTAAGGCATATAGATTTTACTGTGTATTTTAGTCTCCTAGCTATTTTGTTTTCAACTTTTTTCAAGATTACAGGACATTCTAATCCTATTTATTATCTGTTCATATATACTAAGTCAATTTATTACGATATGCACTGGAGAATAACTAGCAGACTCACGGTAATTGAATCCAGAAAATCTCCTATGCTTTGCATCAACTAGTTCTAAGTAGTCGTGACTAGGTTCCGTGTAAAAGTCTGCAATGGATAACAGATGTTAACATGACATTAATATCTAAGTACTGTAAACCCAAGTGAATTATTTCCATTTGCCTAAACAATAGGAATGCATAGCATATTGTTTTCATTTGCTCCACTTTGCATTTTGTTTTGGAATATCTAACTTTTATGGAACAGCTTTACAAAATGTATCATATACCAATTATAAAGAGTAAACGAATTGATTAACTTCCATCGACTGCACAATAGGATTTAGAACACTTAATAAACAAACACGTTATCTATTTCTATATCCTGATATCTCCTCTACATATGTATCAGTCTTTGATAGTGATTATAAGAGTGGATAGGTACACCACTAAACCTACACGTTTCAAAAGCAGTTTAAGTTATGGCAAAGTTGAATGCTAGCCTGCTATGTAAAAAAACGCTATATTTATTCAATACTACGTAGGAATTCTTACTAGGCCTACCCATATTTTATGCTACTTTTAAAATGAATAGAGCTGAGCAATTAAAATTTATAACACAAACTTACCAATAAAGCTAAGCTTTATGAATTTATCTGGATGAACCTTAATCAGCCAGTGACAGATAATTCCATTAGGGTAATCTCTGTCTGGATAATTTAGTGACCACACTTCACCAAGTGTGGCATTCCCACTCGTAGTTTCTCCAGGATCACTGCATCCTAAAATGGAATCGAATTTCATGTGAATATGCCAAAGAAATTCGACAGATCATGTTAAAGTTATTAATGGGATTCTGTTAATCAGTAATTGAGGAATGACTGTTTTCTTAGGGTCATGAATCACTGCTCAGTTGGTAGTTATGTCCTGCCCTGTTGTAATAATACAAAGATTCCCGCAAGTGCACCTGTGAACATGATCAATGAATTACCTCCGCTAACGCCAAGTGGGTCAATAGGAACGGCTACCGCCTCCATCTCAGTAACACTAGCAGTCACGGGGGACATTGGCAATGCAGTTGTCTTCCCTATCACCACTTCTTCTTCCTTGGCTAAACACGTCGAAAAAAACACAAAAGAAACATTGAGAACAAGGAAACATTCACCTTGCCCCCCCCCAAAAAAAAACTCAAACTCGACCCGTGCACCCAAGATTATCCGATGTAAATACACTTGGCTTACTCCTGTCATTATTATCTCTTCAGCTACTCACCTTCGCATTTGGAGATGCAGATCTTTTCAGACGAGATGAAGGGAATGTCGGTGTGTTCGCCTATATAGTCCGTCATGACGTCGAACACTCCGCCGTAAACGGGGAACAGGAAGTAGGCGCAGTCATCGTCCGTGAACCAGAAGTCATCCTCGTCCCACGTCTTGCGGTCGCGCGAGAACTCGATCGTCGTGATGCCGTCGATGAGAGACGTGTGGATGTTGTAGACACCGTTGAAGTAGTATCTGTAGGGCAGGTAATGCACGGAGATGACAGCATTTAGTTTGAGAGAGAGAGCAAAGTACAAACGTATGTAATGTGACTAGTGCAACTACGATTTTTATAATGTGGTATGCATTTCTCTCGTAATGTATTTCATATTTAAACATAGTATGTAGTATAAAAACACACGTGACCTCATAGACTCGTCAAACAAAGCTGACATGAGAAAAGTATAGAAACCTATCTATACTCATTAATACATATATTCCTACTTTTAATTGCTAGCTATTAACCTATTATAGCTATTAAGTCTCTTACATCACATTTGTCTTATAGAGCAAGATGTTCTGATATAAAACCAAGCCTAGCATGATTTTCAACATTGTCATTCAAAAGCATCACTTACCTCATTTCCTGGTCAATATCCGGTTTCATGTAAAACATATTTAGGTGCCTGTCAGTGACACTAGATACTCCTCCATTGACCCAGCCAATGATGACATCAGCATTCAGCTAAATAATGGAAAAATTTATTCATGAAATTGTGGGATTGTAAATTGCAGGTCCAATTGCTGGCCGGTTGTCCTTCCTACGTCCTATGGGCTATAATATCAAAAATTGCAACAACACTTAGAACTTTTTGTGTATAAAAATGATGAAATAATCAAGAGTTGACCGAGATTTTTCATATGCAGCAAATTTGAAGAGAGACAAAAACAGACAAATAAGATAAAGATAGATAGATAAAGAACAACAAATATCACTCAAGACATATTATTAACATTCTATTAGAAAATAACTATTATTGCCTTCAGACAAATAACATTAATACTTTCTAAAAGTAACAGCGGTTATTTTCAGACAGACAAAATATTATTAACATTCCATAGAGAATAACAACTATTACCTCCCAGACAAATAACTTTTTCAAGAGCACATAAACACAACAGTTTACGTGCTGTTGATATTAACATTCCATCGACAATAAAAACCATTACCTGCGAGACAAATAAGAAAAACATTCCAAAAATAACAATGGTTATTACCCTAACAGACTCACCATACTAGGATGTTTGTTAAATCCAATGCCTGTCCAAACTTTTCCATAGGTTTTCGCCTGTATGACAAACTCTATTGTTTCGCTGTAATTCCACGCTGCTTTGTACACACACTCATCTGTGCAGCCGGGCGGATGCTGGAAGCTGCCAGAGCAGGGTGTCCATGACACGTTCACACTGCGAATGTTGCTGCTCACTGTCAGTAAGGGAAATACAACATTCATTACCTGTTTACACCACCAAATTTAGCTACAAAGCAATCACATTTCATTACACTTATGGTCATTGTCAATAATAGAAATATAAGAATCATTAATGATGTCCACAACAATTGGAGCAACAATTTATCAAGAAGAAATCACATTCTGTTATGCTTATAATCATTGTCAATAAGAGAAATACACGATTTATTGCTGTTTACCGCAAACAATAGACCTATCCAGCATGCCTGATCATCAGACAGCTCTAACCAATCACTGTTGAGATGGCACATTATAAAATACAATGCCGAAGAGCTGCAAAATGGAGTTTGCCGTGCACGTCGGAAAAACGCATATAAAGTGATGTAATTTTACGGATCTAGCAACGATATCCAAGGAGGGGGTATATAGTTATTGCACTTGGACGTATATGCACGGTGAAATAATGCTTTATTAAGGTGTGATTTTTACTCAGTAGATGCATTTTGTCTCATACCTGTTCTAAATTCACACCAAGCACCGATGTACCCTTCCTCACATTGACAATCATACGTCAGGTCCTTGCGCATGCAGGTTCCACCATTCCTGCACATGCTATAGTCACATGGGTCTATCTCTAAAATCAGAACCAGGAAGAAATAAGCTACAGCGAAAACTAGCATGCAGTAGTTATCTCGGTTTAATCATGAGTGAATTTCTACAACATTTACAGACACATGGGTTCAAGTAATGCATCAACCAGGAATGTTACACTGGATGTTATACAGCAATAGCAGTAGTATGGCCTTATGAGGATCTAGTTCACTCCTTAGTCTAAACGTTTATGCAGCTCTTTCCAGACATTTACATCTTTTATTTTACGTTTTTTTATTGTGTAAATCTTACTCATTTATTTAGTTATTTACTTATCACCTTCTTAGTTTAGTTGGTTTAGTCCGTTATTTAAATTTTAGTCTTTGATTACTGATGATGGTAGTGAAATCAAATAATAACGAAATTATGACAGGAACATGGCTACAAGAATGTGAAATGTGTTCCCCTCATCAACGCGGTTGCACTTACCATCCTCACAGAAGACGCCCGTAAATCCAGCTGGACAGAGGCAGACGTAATGGCCACGTCCACGACTCATACACGTCGATCCACTCTGACAGTTGTTGTCGTAACACGCCTCATTCAGAGCTGAGTGAGAGAGAAAAACAGGCTTGATTGGGAAACGAATCATTGGGAAACGAACAGCATGAAGGATTGAATGTCAACATACATCAGTCATCACAGATGCATGGAATTTAGTTTTGAAATCTTAATTGTGTTGCACTCATCTTATTGGTATTCAAAACTTGCTAACTACGTTAGTATACGTGTCATCATAGATGTATAAAAATTACCTGAAATATTAGAGGAAAATTTTACCACCATGCTTAGAATGCACTTCTGTCAGTGTTTGCAGATGTACGTACCATGCTTGGAGCTGTGGAAGTTGATGAGGGTCTGACCTCTATTGTCTGCACCGACTCCATGGTACTTTAGAACGTCAGATTGGTATAGTGAATGGTAGAAGGCACGTCCCCTCGCCCATATGACGTGCATGTCTTCATTCAGGAAACTGTGGTCAGACATTTCCATAGCTAAAATGACAAAGTGAAGGTATAAATGTGAGGCTCCATTCCTTCTGGTAGTAGAGAAACTCATAATTTTCAGAGCAATGCATCTTAATAATGGCACTTGTACTGGAAGCGTAAAGTACATGAATTACTAAGATTGTTAGCTAAATATAATGTAATTAATTTGAAGTGATTTAAAGAGACTGTCTATATCTAAAAGCCCGAGTTGTCACAGTCATAGTCAAATATATACACTATCAAATCTGACCTTGTGGCGCCATCTATCGGGGGAAATAATTCGTAAGCACACCACCTTCATGTTTAAGCGTAATTACCACAGTACCATTATCGGTGTGCGCCTGATCCTGTTATTAGAAACGAATGTAATTCCACACCACCAAGAACAACCAATAGAAAAACAACTGACGTTTGCTTTCTAAATGATAAGCAAGCTCTATCCCATCCCAGTGAAGTACGAAACATTCGATTTCTCACCAACAAGCTTTTTCCTGAACAAGACAGTCGTGACTCCTGCTCGCTCGTGTCCGATAGCCGCTAACAGGTCATCCTGCCCGCCGAAGAATTCATCAACTCGTGGCGTGGCCATGTCCCATGAATAGTAGTCAAACACCCTAGTCAGGTTACCTAAAGACATGCTTTTATTAATGTACAGTCATGCCTGTATGTATGAGTCACTCAAGGTAAGGAGACCATAAAGTGGTTCTTCATCAAAATTCAACAGAGGTGGTTTCACTGTATAATTGTCACTCGGGCAATTGAGAAAATTGTTGCTGTGAGGGTATGGGTCCATGGATTTCAAACCACGCTTATGTGACTGTAGGCCCGAATCTTCCAGTGCAGCAGATTTCACTCAATTGAAATGTAAAATGTAATGTAATAAATAATATATAATGTATAATAATAATGATGTATAATGTGTAATAATAATGTATAAAATGTAAATACGATATGTGAGAGTCATGCAACCTAATAAATTAATAATACATTATAGCATACGTAAGATTTTTCGGCTCATGTGAGATAATCTGGTCTCAGGACAGACACTGACGAAATCTCATAACATACACGCATACCTTTAGCAGATGCAATAACCATGTCCGTGCATGCCATTGGATGTAGAGGGCGCTGCATCATGCCACTGTGAGGGTGAGGCTGGTCAAGGTGGGAAGACGTTTTATTTTCACCTGGGTAGAACCCTCCAGGTAGTTCAGGAAAATCCTGACATTTTATAGTCATATCTGCAGAAAACAATCGTAATTAACTGTGGAAACACGCGTAAATTGTGATATAATACCACCAGGAATAATATAATAACAGATTATTATCAGTTATTATTCATACACCCGAGATTATGGTAGTTCGCTATACCTTAAGCAGTGATTCAACGCGTCAGCAAAAACAGTGAACACTTGCAGCAGCAATAACGGTAAATTCCCATCTATGTCGTAGCATGCATTTGTTCAGCCTAGCTTACGTAAACCAGATTACAGAGTTCTGTGTGTTCCCTACACCAGAGGTCCTGGTTGTTTCAGCCATGTGTTTTTTTTCAAGTAGAAGCGTAAGTATATTTAACCTGTTACACCGAGCACCTAAACACTCTTATGAAAGGTCACGTTGACGCGATCGCGTCACGTAGGCAGCACACCGCAACAAAAATTGTCACGATCATTAGACACGCAAACTAGTTTAGTCGCGAATCACAGGAGGCACCGACAAATATGCTCACAAGACAAGCTCATGCTTCACAGCACTAATGGAAAAAGAGGAAAATGCTCGCGCACATTAACGAGAGAAAGTAGGGGAGGTAGATGAGGGGGAAAGTAGAGGAGATCGCGAGAGAGGACTTATAGAACAGAGAGAGGATAATAGAGGAAAGCAGAACAGGGAAAATGTATAGAAAAGGAGGGGTGAGCGCAGAGAAGGTAGATGAAGAGGCGAAGATGAAGGAGGGGAAGAATGTGGAGAGTATAGAAGAGGAGGGGGTGACATAACGTTTTGTAAAGTTTGCATATTTTGTTTTGTCAAGTTTTGTTTCAACTTTTATTTCTAATTTTCTTCATAAATGTCAATCGAAATACTTGATCAACACTATTCAAAACTATTATTTAACATTAATAGGCTTTATGTTACAATTACATCAGCATCATTCTTGTTCTCATTTATCCGGGTCACGTTTTTCATTACATCATTGAATTCATGACCCTGCCATGCCATATTTGCAAGTGCGTGCTGCCATTCATTGTAACGACTGAATGAAATTGCATCAAGGTAAAATGTATAAATATAGCATCGATACAAACCCCACCATGGCATTGTACATGTGCTATAACCTTTGTTACTCATTTTCACAAAGACTTCTTTGTATTTATGCGTACATTATCGCACTACGTACCTTTCAAAAGTTGCCATGAAAGTTTTTTGGGGGGTGACTATAGTGTACTGTGTATGCGCGCTTATGAGATATGAACGTCTATGTGTGACCACATACGTCTATCAATGACGAAGGTCGTAGCATTTTTCACTCCTTTTGCTAGCAACGTTGCATGCAACACCCTTGTGATGGCAGTAGCCATGTAACCTAACAGAATACTGCCTTGAGAACAAGCGAATAGCCCGGTAATGAATTAGTGCGCACCGAGCACCGATAGAGCAAGTTAACAACCTCGCAACATTTACTCGCGGAAAAGAAAAGCCGATGAACCTTTCGCTTGTTCGACCTGTCACACGGGCGGTTTACGACCAGTGCACCCCCCCCCACTCACCCAAGGTTCGTCGTAGCCCCCGTTTTCTTCCAGCGAGGAACCTAACGTTCGTCTCATATATCACCCGGAAGGTTTACAGCCACGTTCCGGTTACGCGGAAGGCCGCCGCCAGCCGTCTCGACCTCTCCTATACGCGGTGCTAGAGTTCACCTCAGGGGAGCAATCGTAACCGCCCAGGCCACCACCGAGGATATCTGTGGCTCAGCCGCTCACTCTAGGTATGCTCTAGGTCAGAGCCTCGGGGGCACAAAGACCGTCTCGCAGACAATAGCCTATTCTCACCGGCTGCCGCCCAGTTACTTCCTAATAGTGAAGCAGCAGCGTCGTTGCGCGTATTTATGGCCTCCGTACGAGTACGTGTATCCGTACGAGGAAGTAGGGAGTCGAGTCTGTGAGCAGTAATTAGCAAGCACGGAGCGGTGGGTATACCCCGCACCGACAAGGACGGAGGGGTGGGGGGAGAACGTAGCGGAACTGTGTCAACACAACAAACGCCTAGGCGCACGCTGTGTATACGGCGTAAAGACGCGAGATCACGCACACAGCAGCTTGACTGCTGTAATACGTGACTAAATAATATGTGTTACTGTTACGGTTTACGCGCGCAGGATTCTCTAAACAAATTATGGGAGAATAAGATATAGTAATCTTGTAATGTACAGAAGGCGTATGGGTGAAAGAGACGGATACTTTATAGGCATGGGAACACACATGTTGTTGCCAGCGATAATGTGATACTGTGTGTGGTGAATTATTTCCATCTTAACGTTTAGGCGTGCAGGACTTTCCAAACAAATTTCGGGATAACAATAACGTGATGACACTTAACCACACGCTAGTACAGATAACAGTGCCGACCGAGAATATAATATGCAGGCAAGGGATCATCCCTGTTTCATGGCTGCTATAATTTGACACTGCGTGTTGATTTTCTTGAACGAATTTCGAAATAATACCACACAGACTCGAAAATACATATCGGCAAAAGTCTACTTGCCCCATACACGTGAAAGTGGGCTGGAATCCGAAATAAGAAAATTGAAATGCTTTTCAAAGTGAACAGATTTTCTCTACTGCTGCAATGGCAACATACAGAAAATTATCCTACAATATTTGCAAATATCCTCATCACATTGATAAAGAAATACCCAACAAAGGCTTCTTACAGATACAAGCTACAATCTGCTAGAACAGGAGCCTGTTGTAAGACACATTGTGAATAGTTTTGATTTATAATAACTCCAAAATGTCATAAATTTTTAAGTGAAATCTTTGTACAAAAGTTATGAAATTTTAGACTTACAATAATCATAACCATATTTCATTTGTCTGAGAGTGCGCCCGATAAACAGATGAATGGATAATGAAGCTGAATTGTTCAACATACCGGCAGGTCTCCATCCCAGAGCTACGTAGCTCTCCCCTACTGATCTGATAATGACTTCAATCTCATCCTGAAAATTACAGTGATATATAATTAATGTAAATGGCAATCTGCTTTCAACGAACGATACGCATAAGCATATGAGCGTGAATATATGTGCACTATACACAATCACGCACGCCGTCGACAAATTAACCCCCCAGACCAACACCCCGCCTCCCAGGACATTTAACCACCCACGGACAAATTACCCCCCCGGACATTCTAACGACGAGCCCGCGCGCGCCAAGAACCATTACCCCTGGACCAATTAGCCGCACTCGGACATTTAGAAGGAGGAGTTAGAAGGACGAACGGAGAAGGTAGTGGAGGAGTAGGAGTGGGAGGGGGAGGATGAGGTGGCCAGGTGGTGGTTGAGGGAGGAGGAAGCACAGGAGGAGAGGAGTAATGTGATGGAGAGGAGGAGAGGAAGGAGGTAGAGGCACGCCTCCTCTAGCCTCCTCCTCCTGCCACCCCTTCCTCCTCCTCTCCTACTTCACTCCACCATTCTCACCTGCCTCCATAGCCTCCACGCTCGCTCTCCTCCTTCGCCTTCCTCCTCCTCCTCCACACACTCAAATCCTCATTCCTACTCCTCGCTCCACCAACGCTTCCTCCCGATCCTACGCTCCGACTACCATGGCGCACTCCGCATAACCTCCCCTCCCTTCTCCCTCTAACGCTTCTCCTCCACCTCCTCCGCATTCCTACCACCTGCGGTCCACCTCCTCCCTTCCTCCCATCTCCTATACTCGCACCACCCTTCTACCCACGTTCC